CAAACCACGAACAACACTGCACCAAAATGCATTGATTATTTTAATGTTTTAATATACAGCTGGTGTATGACTTGCAATGCTTCCAGACGCAATAGTTCAAGGATATCATGTTTAAAAGAAAACACTTTGTGAGACAGCTTTAGTGTACTGGCCAATAAACGTTGAGAGGTTAATGAGTTGATTAATTTATATTTGGCTGCTTTTTAACTGTCACAGCTCTGGATCAAAGCATGCAGGTCCACTTCTCTTCTGCTGTTCTCTGTCCCTCTCTCATGCCTTACCACCTGCTAATGACAACAGCTTCCCCCCCTGAAGTGCTGCTTGTAAAGTATTGTCATCCATGATCCTTGTATGACTAACTGGAAACCTTCCTCCTGGCTCCGTCTTGTATATAAATGGAGATGTTTCTGTGTTGGGTCTCGTCACACAGATGATATTAACTCTCTCTTCCTCTGTATACCATGATGAATTAGAATAACTGGCCTGCTGCTTGGTCAAGCGTCACCCCAGAGCTAAGAGTGCTGAGCGGGGAGTAGTTTTGCACATTTCAGCTCAGTGTGGGTGAGGTGGCGATCGTGGACAGAGTAGAGTATGGTTTGCCACTCTTGCTCTGAGCAGCTTGACCGAAGCAGAATCGGGTCTCAGCCTGTGATCGAGTTTTAATCTCAGTGCTCACGTTTAGCTTTTGAGTGTTCTGGAGTTATTTCTCATGTCTGTGGACACGTAACAAAAGTTGTCAAGAAAAATAAATATGGCGAATAAAAATAAATGAGTGTTGAAACTTATGCAACATTTTAGTGTGATGTGTATGATTGTCGCCTTTTTACAAGTGTTGTTCACATTTATCATTACACAGCATGTGACACCTGATGATGAATGGGTGAGTAGAAGTCTGCATTAATGTGCACAATTTGAATTGAATATTGTCCAAATGACCCAGCAAACTTCAGATATATATATACCTTGACATCTGCAAAAGAAAATATATAATACTGGCTGTGGCTGTGGTCGTCTTATTCATCAAAGGTAGACTAAAAATGAATATATTCCAATTTTAATTTAAAAAATGAAACCTTTTAACTGTCAAATCACATTTTCATTTTAGTTTGACCACACAATTTGAAGAATGGGATGACTGCTTTCATAAAGAACTATGGCAGTCAGGTATTGATTTTTTTTTAAATACAATCTCGATTGCATTCATAACTACCTATTAATGAGAAAACATGATTGTTCATAAGCAACTGACAGATAAACAGTTTTTTTCACTGCAGTTATGCGCAGGATTACCCAGCGACCAATACATAGTCCATATGAGACAGATTCTCATTCTGTCTAAAAACGTGTTTGGGGGATCTTTAAATCTTGATTCTGCTCTCTTTTTAATTATCAAAAGCATAACTACAACAGCCTTTAGTTCCTTTAAGAATAGTTATAACAGACAGAAGCAGAAAAAAAGCTGGTGTATTTATCCTGAGTTGTTGTGACTACTTCTGTGCAGCACATCATGTTTCCTGGCTGACACGTGACAATGTCTTCTGTAACAAGTTGTTCCTGCTCTGCCCATCTCATTAGGTTGAACATAGAAAACAAAATGTCCCCAACAGGAGAGGGCTCTTGTTTACAGAACAACCTAATACATTGACAGTGTTGGAATGAAATGAAGGACATTTACTCAAGATCTGTAAGAACACATTTTAGGTACACCATTTTTATTTTATGCTACTTTATATTTCTAATTTACTAAAATGTTTAAGCAAATGTTGGACTTCTTTCTCCACTACATGTATTTGATAGCTTGCGTTACTATAGTTACTTAACAGATCCAGGTTATAAGCTAATACAGAATGTGAATAAGTAAACATGTTGACATATAATTATAGGTTACGATAGCCAGCAGCAGTATATAAAGTAATTAAATCACAAGTACTTCTGTACTCTTATTTAAACCTTTACTTATAACTGAGTATTTGTATGTTTACTTTAGTATTGCTATAAGCAATCTGAGTACTTCCTTCACCTCATAAATTGTTAATATAACATAATGCTTTTCCTGTCTGTGTCATAACAGTTTGTTGTTTGCTCAGTATGGACACATGTGAATGCCTGCAGTGTGAGACTGTTGCTCTGCGTTTCTGCAGCCCTCCATTATTGATTATGTACTCACCATGTACTTAGCTGCATCAGGGCCGGTCACACTAATCCCCCTTATTATTACACAGGCAGAAATACTGGACTGCACACACAAAGGCTCAGCCCAGGCACTGAGGTTACAGCCCACTATTGATGAACAATAAGTTTGGTAAGATATCTGCAGGGCTTTTATGTGTAACGGATGTTGAATATTTAATAATGTGTTCTGTTTCAATATCTCTGTCCAACTGCCCTCTTTTTGTTCGTACTGTATAGGTGACCATCAAGGAGATTGACATACTGCCAATAGAGAGCAACTGGCCTTTCAAATCTCCACTGAACGCAATTGTGAAACATAATTTATTGATAACAAATTAGAAAATAAGATACTTTGGTCAAAAATAGTTACTCCAAAAGTTTTAAAATTCATTAAAGGTGCAGTCAGTGATTTAAATCCCATAGCTCTGTAAAATTCAGCTAATATTTCCTCACAATCGCGAGCTGTTTGAGCTGCAAAATTAATGAAGTTATTTGTTTTGGTGTTGAGTTCAAATATCAGAAATGTATCTCCAGAATCACTGACTCTACCTGTAATACACTGACAATGAAAATCGATTCCCGAAGTATAGATGAACAGAGATGTGCTTCCATTTTATTAAACGTATTAATCTACATTTGTGAGACGCGCCCCCAACATTTTGGACAATTTTAAAGTCTACATTTGACTTCTTAGGTCCATTTTAGTTAAAATAAAGAGCAGTCTGTATGGGAGCTTGCTGGTTTACGCAATTTCCTTTTGCTTGGAATGATTCACTATACACCAAAGCTGTTGATTTCTTCCCACTGAGCCGACATGGAAACTATTTTGGTTTAGTAAACAGCAGCTTGTGAAGGCAGGTTAGCCAACCAACAGAGACAAAGTCGGTGTGGATTTGATGACAGAAAGCTTACACACCGCTCATGTCTCGCTTTCTACCGAAGGGGATTCCCAGTTACTGTCAAATTAGTTGAATTGTTTCCTATGAAAGGGAAAAAAAAAGGAACAAAACAAAGAACAGTATCACCACTGAAAGATCAGGATTAAGTTCAGTAATTGATTAAGCTAACGCTAACCTATGGACTATTGGCCACAACTTTTGAAATACTGTCCTGCAGCCCCCCTCCACCCTTGATATCCATTACATTACTGCTCCAGTGAAGTGTAGATAAAATATGCGTGGCAATTTATTTGCTTAGTCACGAATCTGACAAAAAGGTTGATGTAACAGCGTTAGCTTAACTGCTATGAAACTGTGCCAGTAGGAGTAGCTATAGCAACATGTTCAAATAAAGCAGACTGCTATTCATTGAAATGCTGATATTGAAATACAAAACTCTGTGTTACTCCAAGCCAAATGCGTGTCCCACAAGAAGTTAATCACTCGGGTGCAGTCTGGGATATTGACTTTCATCTCCGGTCTCAAGTGTGAACATGAACATGTGAGAAGGTGTCCATGCACACACACATACACACGGACACACACACAGCATACTATATGTCGTCTCCTACATACATTCACAGAGCAATTGTTATACTTCCTGATGCAGTCACCCTATCCCTCTTCGTTAATTATGCACACAAAGAAGGGCCCCCGTCTGAGGTTTGGGTCCAGGTGATGCTGCTCCTTGGTCTGGCTGTTTATTGGCCGCTCCAGAGTAGAGAGACAACACCTTCTGGAGTAAACTCTGCGTCTTTATTTTCAGTAGGCCTATTAATATTTTATTTTTTAATTCCTCATATAATTAATCTACTGTCCCATTGTTCGTGATTTCACAGTTCCTGGATATATTGTAAGTACTGCATGCTTTCATATATTGAAGTATTATATTATCAGATCTTCAAGGTAATGTTAAGAGATGGAACTCGAGAAAAATGATTGTGTATTTGCAAATGACAAATAGATTTTGAATCTATTTTATTTGAATTAAAAATACTTTCTTGACAGTTTACATGTTATATGTATTAACCATCAAAGCCTTACTTAGATATAAAACAATGTTTTAATGTCATGTGTATTGGAAACCATTGCCATTAACAGTTGGAATGAAAGCAACAGATTGCTAAGGGCACTAAATACAATTTATCTGGCAAATAAAACAATCAAATGTATTTCAAAGGTTTTACTGGTTTATATTTGGTGACAAATTAACTTAATATGACTTATGTTAGTTGTTCACAAAGCTTCTAATCTAACTTCTTGCGTATACATTTAATTAGGACAAACATCTAATTGTCTGTGTAGTATTTATGCTTTAGAATGGCGTGGAGCCTGTGAGAAATCAGGAAGGTTACCTGAAGCAGGATATCATGTCTCTCATAACTCTAACACACTTTCTCCTGCACTCTGTGCGGGCTACGCTAGCTGACGGGGCTCCTGTTTCACCACGTATTGTTTTTTATCCAAGTACTACAAGCTGCGGCCTGTTTGTTATATTGACCATGTGGCATCAAGGAGGTCTCTTCGAAGATTACTTTGAAATCGTTTATATACTCTGTGTCGCATTTCTCTCCAGGAGGGGTCCTCTTTTGCTCACTTTATCTAGTTTTTGTCACTGAACTGTTACAGGATTTGTATTTTGGAAAGTATTTTTCTTTTACTTTTATTTTTTATATTATATTTTTATTATATCATAACTTAGTACTTTTTTCTTAACATAGGTAACATTAAGCTGTCTGTGGCTCTTTCCTGCTGTAACGATGCAAATGTCCCCTCTGTGGGACTAATAAAGGTATTCTGATTCTGATTCTGATGTTGTTATTCTTAATGTCATTTTCAGAAAGAGGAGTTCCTGTTGCTTCCAGAAGACCAGACTGTGACTGAGCCAACATGGAGAACAGCAAGGTGAACAATCATCAGTGCAGCGATAGAAAATTACAGTAGGAGAATATAACCTGGCAAACTAATAGAATCACTAATTCCTTCAAAGGTGCTGTTAATAATATGACCTGCTTTTTTTTTTGCTATGACAGGTCAAAATGTATTCAGCATCCCAAGGGGAGCAAGGAGGACATTAATGAGAACTAATGCATTTGAGAACTACTAAATAATCTGCTTGCAGTGCCTAAACCCAAAATATTATCAACTATCAAAACATTTCCAAATTGGGATCAATATAGTACATCTTATCTTATTTAACCTCATTATTTTATAAAAAATATCAGCAAACCTTGTAATATTCACAATCTCATTCAACACCTCCCTATACTGTAAATGGTAATTACCAATGACACCAAAACAGAAAATAATTCCTAGAGAAAGGCATTTGAAGTGTTCCACTAAGCAGAACTGTCCCTTTAATCATGGATCACCCCTGCTGTGTGTGTCCCCAGCAGCCAATGAAAGAGGTGCTCCCCCTGCCTCGCAACCCTTCACCACTTCCTGTGACCTCACCCTCTGTGACCCATGCCGCCCCTTCAAATAAATACCACTCAGACACCATGCAGAATGTGCAGATGGCCTCCTCAGGTGATTAACAGGGACTATTTCGTTATATAAAATGACATTAAACCAACACAACCACCATATATTACACATACACAAATAATAATATTGATTCATTTTAAGATACAATTGTTGACATTTAGCCTTTGTTATTTACAGTGGTGACATCGTTCAGCTACCTGAAGCCTCCAGACAGGGATATCACCCTGATGTCCCACATGAAGTCCATTAAGTCTCTGAAGAATGCTGCCATCTTCACTGGACAAACGGTGATAACAACCTTCAAGATAAACAGTACTTTGTGCATAAAAACATAAAAGATGGCTGCCTTCAGGATCGATAGGGAATGATTAACAGGGTAATGTACATTAGATTACATGACAAAACCCTATATAATTATCTGAGACTAAATTGGACAAAAACTGTTGTCCAATTATAGCTAGGGGAGGGATGGGAAAATATTTAATTAGGCCTCGTATGGTCTCAATAAAAATGACAACACTGTATCAAAACTAAGTAATAATAACTGTGTGGATGTACAATGGGTGTTAAATGTTTTAGTTTTGACACATGGTATACAAAAAATGAAAGAACATCAGAAAAAATTCTTAGATTTTTATGAAAGTGATGTTACTTCACAAACTTTTAACACTGACAACTACTGTCTCAGATGGTTGTGCAGAGTAATAGTCATGAACTGTTGGAGGAGGTACTGAACGCTGATGTGATCCTGGCTGACATCGACTCCCTGGTGCCGACTCACGATGAAGCCGGCCGGCCCATCGCAGAGTGGAAACGACAGGTGATGGTGCGGCAGCTGCAGGTCAGGCTGCAGGACGAGGAGGAGCAGAGGAGACAGGTATGTTTACTTTAGTGTTAACTCAGTAAAATCTGTGGTTGATGTATGTTATTGGATATGTCTGCATCTGCATACCCAATCCTATTTGGTAAGATTAAAAGAGGTAGGGAGTGGTTGGATCGATCAATCAATCAATCAATCAATCAATCAATCAATCAATACATCAATAAATCAGTAAATTAATCAATCAATCAATACAAAAATCAATCAATCAATACATCAATAAATCAGTAAATTAATCAATCAATCAATACAAAAATCAATCAATCAATACAAATGTCTATAGCCACATAACAAATTAAACATTTGTCTCATCGCAGTGGATCCTGAAAAACTCCTAAGAAACCCCATAGCTATTGGAGAAAAAATTGAAGAAACATCTGGGAGAGTGAAAGAGGAGGTATCCCTCTCCCAGGACGGCCAGACGCGCAATAGATGTTGTGTGTTTGAATTAAAAAAGACAAGTTAAGTTATTTGGTTGAAGTTAGTGTTTCTCGAATAGGGTTGGACTCACCAGGGTGATAATTGAGCTTTAAAAGACATGAACAAGGGGAACAAGTAAAGAGCATGTAGAGTAGGCTTGTAGACCAAATATCAGCTAGAATCCTATCACTCAACATTATTCTGAAAATCTATTCGTTCCCCTAACAGGACATGACTAATGGCTACACACCAGTGGACGGCTGGAAGTACTCCCAAACCCACAACGCCGTCTTGGGGCCCTTTGGAGAGCTCCTAACCGAGGATGATCTGGTGTACCTGCAGCAACAAATTGAGACTGTTTCACTGCAGAAACGCTGCCAGGCCTACGAGCTGGAGCTGACCAGGCTCACCGAGGAGCTGCGGTCCATTTTACCTGATTCCATCTTGAACATCTCCCTCAACAAAGAGGTCCTACAAAAGATGGACACTGAGGGGAAAATGCACCCTACTTTGCCAATGTGGTGCAGTCGTGTCTCAGAGATTGTTAAGAGTATGTCGCTGCTGGTGGCCAACCTGACGCAAACCACAGAAGAAGGGGGTGAGAGGAGCGTAATGAATGGAATAATGGGAGAGATGAAGGGTTTGCAGGGGGTTAGCAACAGTTTCGGAATTGAATTGGACCAGGAGCAAGAGGTAGTGCCTGCACATGATGAGACCTCTAGTGGTCCTAGGATTCCTCACATAGGAATGGCGTCTACTTTCAGCCATCGACTGGAATCCAACAGCTACAGCCGAGCTCGGAGGGAGAGAGTGGTGAGGGAGATCCAACAGTCCGGGGTGTCAGTCAGAAACCTAAGATCCAACTTTGAGGGTCAGATTGGCAGCATTTATCCCTTTGCTGGGGTTATGAAAGGAGGACAGGTAATGTTTGGAGCTCCAGAAGTAAACAACCTGAATAGTCACTGCGATCCTCCCAAAACAATTAAACCTGTGATGGAGACTACCAGCCTAAGGAAAGAGCGTATCGTGGTGCTGTTCCTGAGCCACTGGAAGAAATCTGCATATGCTATTTCAGTGAGAGCAGCGAGGCAGAGACAGGGACAGGAAGCACTGCCAGAGAGAGTGACAGGCGCTTTGCCCCAACAGAAAATCACCTCCATGTTTCAATTCTGCCAACAACGATGTGCTGTAGACAAGGTGCTTCACTGCTGGAGAAGTAAACTAGGACTCAAAGAAAAAAAAAAGTCCTGTGTGTCCTCCTCAAACTGCTCTCGAGTAATATTCTCCCCAGAGCAATTTCTGCCAGACGTGGACGGTGTTGCAGTGACCCACGACAGCTTGACCCTTGACCTCTTCATGGTGGGATACTTCCACATTTTGGAGCAAGAGCTGCTGCCCGAGGAGAGGAAGATGAGGCATCTACTCTGCTTCGAAGTCTTTGACCATGTCGGCAGTTTCTCCTGGGAGATGGTGAAGGACTTCCACAAGGCCGTTCTCCAGGAAATCCAGTCAGGGAGTCGACAGTGGAGCGACGGCTTCGAGGACATCAAAGTTCGCTTCTTCGGGGACTCCAGACCGTGCCACTGCCCATCATCATCCTTATTGGCAGATACCAGACTCCTACCCAAAGTTGTGGTTCAAACTGTGGCTGCAGATGAGTGCGGCAGGGACTCTAACTTCTCTTGTTTCAACAACCAAGACATTTGTAAATATATTGACCGTAGCTTTGCTTTCTGGAAGGAGAAGGAGGCTGAGCTGTTTGAATTTGCACATTAGTATTAAGGTTCCATTTGATAATTTTGCACAAAATAATGACATGTTGGTGTGTTTACAAAAGCTGAATAAAACGTTGTTGAGAATGCCTTATCGATGCATTATTACTGCAAACTGAGTTGATGATTACAGTTATTATTTGTTTATATCCAAATGATTGACAAGGCCTCCAAGATAGGCATTGAATTCAACATCTATTTACTGAAAACAAAAACTAAATCCTATTAATTTAATTTGATATATAATGTGTGTATTCTGACAGCAGGACCACGGTACACGTCATACAATTCAACGACTTCCTTAAGATCTCAGAGAATTTATAGAATGAGTAAGCACCCTATATTCAAATCTTTTAAGTAAAAGTAGCAAAACAGTGATATCAAATTACTCCAATATATGTAATTATATGTTTGTATTGCTGTACTATATTTATGGGTTATTGTCATTAATGCATAAACTCACATTGCAATTTGCAGCTTGTTTGTTTTCATCTTTCACAAAGCATAAAATTATGAAACATTTGATCACAAATGTTTTAATTTGTAAATCAAAAAAATGTATATTAAAGTTAAAAGTATAATATTCGTCTTAGAAATAGGTTGAACCTTAACCCTATCATTAATTTAAAAAAAACAAAGGCGTACAATGACTAAACAAATTACAATAGCTGAAAATAAACCATTGACATTTGTTCTGTAATCGACCAAACATTTATTTACTTATGTTTCACAGTCGTGCACGTTGTTATTATCTTAAATCTACACTAAAAACTGTTTCGTTCGATTTCCTATAGAAAGGTGACGAATTAAAATAGGTGAGGTCGCGCAGGCGCAGTAGCTCCGCAGATTGACAGGAGGATGCTGAGCTGCATTCCCATCATTCTGAGAGGAGAGGAGGATCCCCCTGCGCACCCACAACGAAGGAGACGCCGAGCAATAAGAACATATAAAATAATCCAAGTTGAGCTCTTTATCTGCCACCATGTCAGCTGGAGGAGATTTGGGGAACCCCCTGAGGAAATTTAAACTCGTGTTTTTGGGCGAGCAGAGCGGTGAGTCAGATCTTTTGGGAGGTTTCGGTGTTGTCCTCCCATCTATTGCTTAACATGCGTATATGTAGAAGGCCATGTATGTTATCCTTGTTGATTTACAAAGTTTCAGATGAATCTGAAGGATGTGGCCGGCTTTGTGTAATTTCACGCCCATGGACCCTTGGGCACAATATGTGACTGTAGAAAATCTGATTACCCGAAGAAGAAGAAAAAAAACCGCATGCATGTAAATGTCACCCTTGGATTTACTATAACTATCATGACCACTCTCTGCTCATTGTACTGAATATCCCTTATGATTGTTTAGTTGGCGCAAATTGTCATAATTCGCAACCTAGCAGGCGATATTAATTCAGATGTTTTGATGTACTGCAGTGACCGACAAAATGCTCAGCCTGTTTTCAGATAACCGCTATAATTCCCTCACATCGCTTATTTCTAACAAGAACAATCGTTTAATCCATTACATGACAGTGTGTAATAATTTCCTCTTCCTCTGGGGTATTTATTTCATTTGGAAAAGATAATAAACAGTCCCCCATGTGTCAGTTCGGGACACACCCTAGGCTGGCGATGTCTGTAGCATCTCTAAAGCTCGCAGTCTCCGGTTCGGTCCCACACATAATAAAATATAAACGAACTTGACAGCGCCACAGCATTATTCTATGGTTTCAATAAGCCATCTTTTTTTAGGGTGGGGATGACTGGGTGTGTTATTTAATGTGATGGCACAAATTCGGGAGATCGATAATGGTTTAGCGCTGTAAATCTGTCTGAATACGTGTTCAGACAGCAGACATCCAGAGTGGCAGCAAAGGAACAAACTCCCATACAATACAGTTGTAGAAAACACATAAATAGGCTTAATATGACAACAGCTTGACTGGTGTCTTACATTGTGAAGCCCCAGTGTGTGTGCTGCATGTCTATGAGGAGGCTGTGTGTCGACTTCGAGCCTCCCTGTGTGTGTGTGTGTGTGTGTGTGTGTGTGTGCGTGTGTGCGTGTGCGTGTGCGTGTGTGTGTGTGTGTGTGTGTGCGTGTGTGTGCGTGTGTGTGTGTGGCCTGCGCTGCAATGTTGCTGTCCACGGTGCTGTATCGAGGCCTGGTGTGGCCACTGCCCATCTCTGGATTCAAAAGCACAGCTGTCTGCCCTGAGAGGCTCTGCATGAGGGCCTGGGGCCTGCTGCAGAAGTCCACTGCTCAGTCATGTTGTAGATGTGAAGTAAAATGGTGCTAAAGATGGTGGTAAGATGGGATGTAAATAAGATCCGGCTCACCTTGATCCTCTGAGGAGTCACCATGACTAACACTGCCACACATCTGTCTGCTTTAGGTGGGCCTTGTGCATTTTTTGTGATAATTATTAGAAACAACTTCTGTTTTCCTCGTTTTTCTTTCATACAAATGTTCCTGATCACCATAAAAGAAAGAATAAAAGAAAATAGAGCTGAGTCATTAGTCCATCATTCAATCAGGTGGTTAACAGAAAATAAATCTGCAACCATTTTTTTGTCAATATCTAATCTATATGTTATATATTTTGTATATATACAAAATGTAAATTAATTTGGTAATCAACAACTCCTTTAAATGAATAGATTGAGTAAAAATGTAATGTGAGGGGTTAGCTTCTTTAAGGTGAGGGTTGCCTGCTAATCTATGTTTTGTATTACTTTAAACTTCTCAGTGTTGATGCGACAAAACATAACATTTGAATTAGTCACCATGGTCGACATTTAAAAGGCATTGACTATATGATGAATGGAATAATTTAAAAAATGATCTATAGATACTGATGTTAGTTTTAGCACATTTATTTCTTACTTCTTCTCTTTAGAACAGACAATGTAGTCATTTCTTTGGTCTACTAACATTACAATGAAATGCATTGTGTTGTCATGAAAGGGAGGTTACTTACAATTAGGTTATTATCACAGATCTTAGCCAACTAAACTCCATATAATATGCATTGTGGATATATGTTAGACACTGAAACGGCAGATATTTACTTTTCATGTAATATTCTTATTTTGAAATAGAAATGAAATATTCTTTCTTTTAAAAGTGAAGGTTACAATGACAGTGATTGAATGCTATTGCACATCTTTTAATATCTTTCTGTCACTTCCTGAACACACCAACTGTCATATCGTTATGTTCAATTTACTCTATTGTGTTTTCATAAGAAACCCATATGACTGTTTATAATCTGAAATAACACATAACTAAAAATATACTTCTGTTTCTATTCCAGTGGGGAAAACATCTCTCATTACTAGATTCATGTATGACAGTTTCGACAACACGTATCAGGTAAGACTCGGCCAGCCTCACAAAAAAGAAGATAATGCATAATACTGCACTGAAGAAGTTACCAAGGACTCCTTGCCATATTTCTCTAGACAATAGTCTTCTGATGATAGATTTGGATAAATAGAATAACACTAGTCATAATAAAGCTTTCAATTATATTAAGCCCTTTTTGGTAAAATGGGCACACTAACAGAATAATGTCAAGTCTGATATGCAAATTCCAAATCAGGGTTTTTATAAAATAATGTCATTTGCACTGCAGTTATCAAAAGGAAATGCTATGCAATAATAGACTTTTATTAAAAAGAGAAAACAGATTATTCTGTCCCTGCCTTTCTTAGAAGTTGGCTACATAACAAGTCTGAATGATTGAGCCCTGAGGGTAATACAAATTATATTAGTTTTTCAGTCTGATTCAATTTCAGGGCTTATTGGCTGTTCTTTTTGTGTTTTCCTTCATTTAAACAACAGTCAATCTGCTCTGAACAACTGATGGTGCAGGGAGACATTTAGCTTTTAAAGTCTGTGTAATACTGATGATCTTTTTTGCCCTCCTTTCTTCTTTCTCCACCGCAGGCTACCATTGGAATAGACTTCCTATCTAAGACAATGTACCTGGAAGACCGAACAGTAGGAAGCTTTTAATATCATTTAAAATTCATGTAACCATGTAAAGATGAATTCATGTTTTATAACTAGTGTCGTTTTAAGCCAGCAAACCTCCTGAGCAAGACATTTCCCAATTTCCACTGTGGTTTCACTAATCTCTGATTTGATTTCCTTAATAACTTCTCACTTCACAGACTAACACGATTATACTTAGCTTATTTCGGCTATTAATAGTATTTGCTCTTCTAGCCCTAAGAAGTCAAAGTCCTTTCCTGCATGGATCATCCATTTAGCTTGTATTAATAGTATATTTTTTGTCAGGATATAAAGCTCTGTAAGCCTGCACGGGAGCTGATACTGGCTTATCACTTTGGATGTGTACTTATACTAAGGCCTGGGTAGTCTGTGTGTAGTATGATGTTGAAACAGGTGTGTGTGTGTGTGTGTGTGTGTGTGTGTGTGTGTGTGTGTGTGTGTGTGTGTGTGTGTGTGTGTGTGTGTGTGTGTGTGTGTGTGTGTGTGTGTGTGTGTGTGTGTGTGTGTGTGTGTGTGTGTGTGTGTGTGTGTGTGTGTGTGTGTGTGTGTGTGTGTGTGTGTGTGTGTGTGTGTGTGTGTGTGTGTGTGTGTGTGTGTGTGTGTGTGTGTGTGTGTGTGTGTGTGGGGTGTAAATGCAGGTAAGGCTGCAGCTGTGGGATACTGCTGGGCAGGAGCGTTTCAGGAGTCTCATCCCGAGCTACATTAGAGACTCTACTGTGGCTGTAGTCGTTTATGACATTACAAGTGAGTGGTAATTTACCTATGAGCACGTATGCATTGCCTTGTATGTGTTGATCTTTCTGAAAAACATAACAACCCAGCTTAGAAGCAATATTTTCCCATGGGATTCTAACATAACAACACAAAAAAAGACTTGAACTAAGAGTCTTGTCTATGCAGATGTGAACTCGTTCCAGCAGACCTGCAAATGGATCGATGACGTCCGGACAGAGAGAGGAAGTGACGTCATCATCATGTTAGTCGGCAACAAAACAGATCTGGAAGAGAAGAGGTGAGTATGTCAAATACAACATTTAGCTAATGTAGTCTTT